GTCGCATAAGCGTTGGCAAATTTCCAAGATGGATTGCTTTCAAGAGTTATATTCCAAGATGTGGATTGTCGATCGTAGCAAAGTTCTTATGAAAAATTGTTACGAAGCATTGGCAACTTTTCCAAAGATTGGATTTTGGCAAATTTCCGAGGTACGGATTGTCGCTTCATCGTGGCAACATTTCCAAGGATAGATTGTTACGTGGCATTGACAACTTTCCCTAAATCGGATTGTTATAAATCATACAAGAGTTGTGTTGGCAACTATTCCCAAAGAAAAGAGGATTGTCATCACAGCAAAAGCACCGACATATTGGTTCACAAGTAACACAACGCCGACGTACAGGCATAGCGGGAGCAAAGTTCAGGCGAACTTTTAAAGATCGACAAGCGTGGATCTTCGGTAATTTCCTTTGGAAAATTATCGCATCAAATGAGGATGACTTCAAGAGAAGATATCTTCGACAGCATTCCCTAGCTTGCGGAGAGTTGTCACAAACAACTGGAGGTAATTTCGGGCAAAGTTGTCTTCGATCATATTCCCTCAGGCATGGAAGATGGTCATAATGCGGATGAGGATTGTTTCAAGAGAAATAATCTTCGATAGTATTCCCTTGGATGTGGAATATTATCAATGTGGATGAGGATTGTTTCAAGAGAAATAATCTTCGATAGTATTCCCTTGGACGCGGAATATTATCATAGCGGAGGAGATCGTTTCAGGCGAAGCAATCTTCCAAATTTGGAAACAGTTACAGGCATAGCGGTTTTCAAGCGGGATGGCATTCTCTAGCTTGCAGGAGGTCATCAAAACAATTGGTTACTTTCAAAGACGTGTGCTCGACGGTGCAAGATACGCGTTTCTTAACTCTTTTATTTGTTTAACTAATGCTAGTTTTGCAGGTATCGGCGTTGCAAGATTGATTTAGGATCGCAGAACGTTCTGAATCATTCTCCGTCTCTATCGATACTTTGACTTTTGTTTTCGAAACTCGCGTTTCTCCAAACTCAGTCAAAGTGGGGGCTTCTGTAGACACCCATTTGTGTCTCCCCAAAACCAAACCCAGTGATGAGTACCTTTCACGTCGAATCGTAATCGAATGAAGTGAAAGTGTGGAAAGTCTAGTGTTGCGGAAAGTTTTAATTCTTTTCTCTTCTCTCTGTTTCTGAAAACTTATTTTAAGAAAACAGCGAATCCAGTTTGGTTGGTCCATGATATGGGTCCAATAGTGGTGTAGTTGGATGGGGCTTGCAGAGACCTTTCCAACGATATATTATAAGCCCAATTCCGATGAATATTGAGGAAGTTATGGCCAATTTACTAAACTGGGCCCGGTTTGAGCTTTATGTACGGCCCAATGATCTAGGGAGGGCCTAATATGATTTATCATTCCTAATGCAATTAGGAATGGTTTTGGTCTTCTAGAATCTTCTAGAAGGTTTTTGTCATTCCTAATTCAATTAGCATTGGTAAATTGACTTTTGACTTTTCAGAGTTTTAATTAAAATCAAATAGTATTTTCGGGGAAATTATATGATATTATCCTCTAGTACGACAAACTTATCTGATTTTCGAAAACGTGTTAAATTTAAGCTTGGCGTCTGACCCCAGGCCTTGGCGCCTGGCGCCAGCTAGCCAAGGGTGGCGCCGGCTCTGTTTTTTATGCGTTAGACTCTGTTTTGTTTAATTTATCTTTTTGGCTGATTTTCTCTATAAATATCGTATTAAAAACTCTGTTTTCATTCATCATCTACATCCATCATTGACCTACAATCAGTTTTCATTCGCAATCATCAATTCTTATTTCATTCACCAATTCTCATCAAGTTTTCTTGGTTATTTCATCTCTTTCTTTCTTTCTTTGAACTTGCTTCACAAGATCTAGAAACACCTAGCCATATTCGAAGTTGCCTTCGCTCTAGACGTGAAAGGTTTAATTTCTGAGGGTTTAATTTAATTGTTTGTTTATTATTTTCCTTGAAGTTACTAACGCGTATATTTTGTTATTAGAAAGAGGTACGAAGCATCAAAGTAAGTGCTTTAATGATTTTAATTGATATTATGATGTAGAAATCATGTTTACATTGTTATTATGATATTCCTAGTATCATGTCTAGGGTAACTTTAATATTAAATATGATTCCTGCGATGCTTCCTATATTCTTCCTAATATTTATGATTGTTAGTATCATGTTAGGGCTAAAGATTTGATTTTTATTGCTTAGTGACATGCTAGGGTTTGTTATTAATCTTGTTAGTATCATGCCTAGGATCTTGCTATTATTATTATGCTTTAATATTAACATGAACATGATTATGATTATAATTGTTATGATTTATGATGATTATGAATATTATTATTATTATTATTATTATTTTGATGATGATTATTTTATTTATGATGATTATAATTTTATTTATGATGATTATTATTATTATTATTATTATGATTATTATAATTATTATTCATGATATTTATGATTAATATGTTGCTTGATTATTTTATTGCTTGATCACACCTTTTATGCATGTTTAAAGGGAATCTATACTTGTAATCACGCTTAATAAGATAATTAATAATCTTGTTAGGGTTAATGTGATTATAATTCAAGTGATCGCCAATAATAGATTTATTTGTGCATTAATATTCAACCAACATAGATAAACAGGTTTAGGGTAATCCTATTGATTGCATGTTAATTAGAAAACGCACATGAATACGATCAGAATAAAGTAGAGGCCTATTATTAGGGCAGGTTCAATCTCTTTTAGGTTGGATTTGTACCATCATCCCCGAACCCTTATTTGGTTCTAGACCTTATGGAGTTGACGATCTCTTGGATCGTTAAGGGGTGTAACCTTCATCCTGTGAACGGTTTACAAGTTCCTAAAAAACTTGTTGGCGACTCTTTTGCTCTATCTTCTTCCCTTATGGACGCCACCGTACTTTAGTGTATGATCACAGTGGGGTTTAAGCTAGTGGGATTAAGGCTTGAAATATATTCCCTACAAGAGTAAACCACACTCAAATCTATTGTTGGTCTTACATAGTAAACCACACTCAAATCTCTTATTGGTCTTACATAGTAAACCACAATCAAATCTCTTATTAGTCTTATTTTACAGCAATACAAAGACTAGAATAGACCCGTTCTACAATAACTTATTGTAGACCCAACCTTCTTCTATACCATACGAATGTGATTATATCATACGAGATGTGATTATATTACTACAAAAGTGATTATATCATTTTGAAACTGTTATATAAATGTATAACTCAAAAAGTGAATTTATCATTATAAAAAGTATCAAATAGTAAATTACATCATTTCAAAACATGATTTTTAAATTTTATCATCCTAAAGATAATTATATAATCTCATTAAATGGTTTAATATGAGATTATATAATTCCAAATATGACTCACAAAAAGATAATTATATCATCTAAAAAAATGATTATATCATCCACAATGTGATTATATTATTTGAAAGTGTCAAATTTTGGATTTATTGTAGACCGGGTCCATACAAGACCAATTGCTCAAAGAGTGACAAAAGTCAGGATAGGCATTCTGATTTAATTACATCAAGACATCACCATTTTTACCAACAAATGCTTATATCTCAGCTCATATCTAACACTAATCAATAATTGATGATGCATGGACCTTAACATGCACACACATGAATTTTATTCGATAATACATTATCTCTCAAAAATAATGTTAAATATTGAATTATTCCAAATGAGTGTGTTGTGTGTTCATTAGATCACCATTCTGTACAAGATGTATAAGCAAACAGGGCCCTTCTCCATACATCATACAAGACTAATAGCACCTTTATCTATATATTGGCTAATCCGAATCTATTATGTCATAAAAAAGTATATAATAACAATTTTATTGGATTAGTGGAATTCCGAGTGATTAGTTAGGTATTAGGTATTAAAACCCAAATGAATTTTCACCCATAAGATGAAAATAGGAAGGGAACAATGAACGAACTTTGGGTTTGTCTTATTTAAAAACTTCATCATTATATTAGAGTAAAAATAATACGAAGTGTAATGGAATATGAGCAAGTAGGAAAACATGGGACCTTTTAATGGGGTGATGGAGTAAAGCATTAAATTAGTAGTTCGGGTCACCAATACAGCCAACAGGATAAGTTAATCAACCGACAAAAGAATTAAAACATGGAGGGGGCATCTAAACATCGTATATGTACGAGTAGTTATATGGAATACCAGAAAGGTCGTGGAGCTGATGGAGATTGCACTGACCTCACTTGCTTGATTGGCCCCATTTTCAGGTTGGTACTTTGATTGATAAGACTATAATATTAAAATTGATTATCTTAAGTACTTCCTCAACTAATTTCAATCTTGTTATTATATTGGGCCATTTCATCTGATTTAGAGTCTGTTCACTTTAGTTTAATTTCAATTTAATTCAGTTCACCTTCTAGTTTCCTTCTCTCATAAAATATTCATTTCAACTCTATTCAAATCACTTCAGTTCAACTCCAATCAGTTCAGTAAATGCGAACAGACCCTCAATGATCATAATCGTAAAAGACAAGCTTTCACAAATCAATGAGTTTTATTGGGTACTAGTCCAGTCAGTAACAGGAGCAAGTCCAGTAGCAATAATTAGGGCTGGCAAATGGATCAGTTCGGGTCGGGTTCGTGTTCGGGTCACCTAAATTTCGGGTCAGCTACCCCCAACCCGAACCTGATCCATTTAATTTTTCGGGTTGAAAACCCTAACCTGAACCTGATATTTTCAGGTTCGGGTCAACCCGAAATTGACCTTATTTGACCTGATTTTTTATTTGGGTAAAAATCAGGTTTCTTTGACCTGAAATTAACCCGACCCAAACCTGATATATTCAGGTTTGGGTTAACCCAAAATTGACCTGAATAACTTTTTTTTCATTTCAAATACAAGTTGTTCAGGTTAAGCATTTTAATTCAAACCAAAATTAAATAGCTTAGTCTAACAAAGTAACAATCCTACTTAACGATAATAAACCAATAAAAATTGTAATTCACTAATTACAAACCAAAGATAAAGTTTTAATAACACAAATTACAGTTTTCAAAAAATAATAGAAGATGCAATAAGATTTTCATTTGGATTAAGATCGGGCGATGTTGGGACTGTCAATTTGTCATAGCTGTCATCCTTGTTCACCACCTCAAGCTTCAAAATTGATCCACAACATTTCCAATTGAACATGGGTGGGCTACTTCTTGCTGCCAAACCTATAAAGAAAAACAACACTAACATAATTAAAACATGCAATTCTAAATCAGACTATATTATCTAGATCTAACTAGTAAGATCTAAATTAAAACATGCATGCTCATGATAAACAAAAGTAAACAACAAATATTAGCAAGAATCACCATAACATAGACAACATTTAACAATAAAAATTAGCATTAACAATAAAAAATTAGCAAAAACAACCGTATAATAACATAATCAACAACATTTAACATCAGAATTTAGTAATAACACTCGAAAATTAGCATGTAAAAAACTAAAATAAACGGAAGCAAGTAAATATAAAATTAACAACAGAAGAATTAGAAAATAAACAAAACTAGCATATAAAAAACACGGAAAAAAAAACAGAAAATAAATTAAGAAGCAAGATACCTTTGATGAAGGAGAGGAATTCGTGGAGGAGTGAAGGATTCAAGCCGTCAAGGAAATGACAATGGTAAAGTTGGGCTTAACGGAACTACCTCTGTAGAATTCAACAATGAGTTTTTGAGGAGAGAGAAAATTAAAGAGAGAGAAGTGAGGGGAAAAACGGCTGAAGATCAATGAGGGGAAATGAGTTCATTTAGGGTATTGAATTTATATATGGAAGCCTCTTTGTGAATTTGGGCTGGGCTTAATAAGCTTTTTACGTTTTTTTTTTCTTTTTCTTACTTAAATTAGTTCGGGTTATCAAGTCGGGTTCGGGTTGACCCGACCTGATTTTGACCTGAAATTTATTTCGGGTTAAGTGGGCCGTTTTCAGGTTGAGATTTTCAACCTTAACCTAACCCATTTAATTTCGGGTTCGGGTTCATGTCGACCCATTTAAGTTTTCGGGTCGGAAACCTCAGCCCTAACCCGCTTTTTTCGGATCGGGTTCGGGTCGGATTTTTGGGTCGGGTCATTTTTTGCCAGCCCTAGCAATAATGGATGACATTTTTATATGCTACTCCGTGTAAAAGTAGTATTACATTGAGTTCCAATATCGAAAAAAGAGGTAAGTTGTGAGAAAGTAACAAAACAATATGTCGTATCTAAAACATTACTTCACAGAGTAGTTTATAAGAATAAGAGAGCTTTTTGAGTTTGATATGTGAGAATGATAGTATTAATAAGGAGTGGAATAAAAATAAAATCCTTCAATGTAAGGGCAAAGGAAGCCAAACAGATCCCTACATTTCAAAGGCATGTTATGCACCTCAGAAGTTTACTAAGGCATGTTTAGTTGGTCATTTTGTAAATAAAGTTGAACCTAAAGAAGTCAGTTACGTTACGATGATCGTTGTTGATAAAAGCACACTGAAAATGGTGTCGAAGCCCAATAAAAAAAATGGGGGCAAAATTCCCCGTAAAAGTGATAGGGATAGTGATCGTAATCTTATCCTCTCTCCAGCAAGTGAAAGCAGCCCCAATTGATGAAAAACCCCAATTCCCATGTAAAGCGCCTCATAATTCATACCCATTTTGCAACAAATCTCTTGGGATCCCAACCAGATCGCAACAACTAGTCTCTCTTCTCACACTTGAAGAGAAAATCAGGTTCCTCTGCAACAATTTCTCAGGGATACCCAGGTTGGGGATTCCACCTTATGAATGGTGGTCTGAATCCCTCCATGGAATTGCCACTAATGGGCCCGGAATCAGCTTCAGTGGGCCCGTCAAATCCGCCACATTGTTCCCACAAGTTCTCAATTCCGCTGCTTCTTTCAACCGGAGCTTGTGGTTCGACACCGCCACCGCGATCGCCGTTGAAGGGAGGGCAATGTACAATTCTGGCCAAGCCGGGTTGACTTTCTGGGCTCCTAATGTCAATATTTTTAGGGACCCCAGATGGGGAAGAGGCCAGGAGACTCCTGGGGAAGATCCATTTCTTGTTTCTTCTTATGCTCTTGAGTTTGTCAAGGGCTTTCAAGGGGAGAACCAATCTGATGCTGGCCTCTTGATGCTTTCTGCTTGTTGTAAGCATTTTACTGCTTATGATCTTGAAAACTGGGCTAATTTCACCAGATATTCTTTCAACGCTGTGGTAATTTTTTCAATCTTGTTATTGTTGTATTAATGTCTTCAATCGAATCATTCATCTTTATTAAGGATTTATGATTTCCCTTTTTAAACAAGGCAATAACCCTGTTGATTTGTGGCCATGGTTTATTATTTCTCACTAAGATACATTACATTAAACAGAGCTTGAAGTTGTTAGCGCTCATAATAAGTAATGTTTGTGAATTATTTGTTTATTTGCTTCATCACAAGTCCTTTCTGAGTCGTCATGAAAGATAATGTAAGGCTCCCTGTAGGCTCCTTTGGTTGTCTTAAACTCTTAATTATGTTTCACGCATTTTTACTATTTGATGTTTAAAAAATAATCATTTTTTACAAGTTATTGGTTCTCTCTCTTCAGTGTCATCCTTATGAATTCTTTCTAATTGCATCCGTATAATTTCTTAATTTTTATGATATGACAGGTAACTGACCAAGATATGGAAGACACCTATGAACCCCCCTTCAAGAGTTGTGTTCAACAAGGTAAAGCAAGCTGCTTGATGTGCCCTTACAATAGTATTAATGGGGTGCCTGGATGTGCAAAAGGAGATCTTTTGCAGAAAGTGCGAAAAGACTGGGGATTTAAGGGGTAAGAACTTCGTGTAAGCTGTAATCACTATTGAGGATAGTCAGTCGTCCATTACCGAATGCTAAATTCTGTTCTTATTTGCTCTTTGATTTGCCTGATTGTAGGTATATCGCCTCAGATTGTGATGCAGTGGCGACAATTTATGAATATCAGTATTATGTTAAAACTCCTGAGGATGCAGTTGCTGAAGCTCTTAAAGCAGGTTTCAAGTTTCGTCTGCTCTTTCTAGAATGAATATACATCTTGACGTCTTGTTTGTTGCAAATTCTTTGATAATATGTTGGATAATCATCTGTAGGAGTTGATATAAACTGTGGAACATACATGCTTTATAATACTCAATCTGCAATTGGACAAGGAAAGCTTAAGGAGGGAGATATTGACCAGGCTCTTAATAACCTGTTCCCTGTTCTGCTCCGATTGGGCCTTTTTAACGGGGATCCTTTAAATGGAATGTTTGGAAGATTGGGAGGCAAAGACGTCTGTACTAAAGAGCATCAGAGATTGGCTCTTGAAGCAGCAAGGCAGGGCATAGTGCTTCTAAAAAATGATAACTTCTTACCTTTAAACAAGGATCATGTATCTTCATTAGCCATCATTGGTCCTGGTGCAAATTCTACAAGCTATCTTGATCTAGGGGGTGGATATTCAGGTCTAATCCTTCTCATCGTAGAGTACATTGACTTTTCAATGTTTTGGAACACTGCACATGCACAGCATCTTTAATCGATGATTTTTTCAACCTGGCATATAAAAAAGATTATGATATTGCTTAAATTCATTTTGTGTTTCCGAAACTGGTCACTATTAATTAACTTAAACTGATTTGCCACAAATTCTATTCCTTATTTATATTCCAACATGATTCTTTTACTTGATACAGGATTTCCATGCAATGCAAAATCTTATGTTGAGGCTTTTCAACCATACATCAAGAAGACAAATTATGTTAAAGGATGCTTGAATGTTGATTGTGAATCCAATTCAATGTTTGATGAAGCTGTCCACGTGGCCAAAGTATCTGATTATGTTATCTTAGTTGTTGGCCTGGATTTGACCCAAGAAACTGAGGATAAAGATCGAGTTACCCTATTACTTCCTGGAAAACAGATGGACCTTGTATCTTTGGTCGCTTCTGTTAGCAAAAAACGTATAATATTAGTCCTCACTGGTGGTGGACCACTTGATGTCTCTTTTGCTGAAGGAGATTCACGAGTTGCTAGCATTCTTTGGACTGGGTATCCTGGTGAAGCCGGTGGCAAAGCTCTCGCTGAAGTAATCTTTGGTGATTATAATCCAGGTTAGAAATGAGAATATCACCTTTCGACATTATGTAGAGTGGGTGGTTTTTCCATTTTCCTTGAAGTTTCCTTTTTTCTGCCTTCCCATTTTTCTTTTGGCCTTTGCTTAAGAACGCTAAAAGTTGTGATGGGATGAAAACTGAGTAGTGTTAGCCAAGCAATTCACCAGTCTACTCTCTTTATGCATTCATTGGGGTTTCTTGTTATGGTGTATCAAGGGTAAGGGAAGGGTGTCCCTGTTGCCATTTTGTGATGTACTGCTCTCTACTGCCCCCTACTAGTCCTTTTGTATTATGCATGCCCTTCCTTCTTGCTATGCTATGAAGGATCCCTGGTAGTAATGGTCAACCTTAATTGGGCAAAGGCTTTCGGAAGCTAAGCTGATGGGACTGCCCTCACTATAAACTATAAAGGATTCAAGGGTTAGGGAAGTGTGTCCCAGTTTCCATATTTTTTATCGACCTTTATATTTGAATTCATGAATTGTATAGATGATTATTTTACCTAGTGTTGCCTCTTAGGAACTTTATTTCTTCCTTAATCAATTACCCATATTGATTCTTATTTATGTGTCGATATGGACTGCCAACAGGTGGAAGATTGCCAATGACTTGGTATCCAGAATCATTCACCCAGATACCTATGAATAACATGAACATGCGGGCTGATCCCTCTCGCCTATATCCTGGGAGGACCCATCGGTTTTATACTGGAGAGGTTGTCTATGAATTTGGTTATGGTTTAAGCTATACAAATTACACATACAAGCTATTATCAGCTCCAAATACTTTGAAGTTAATATTTAAGACTAGCGCTAGTTTGAGAAAATTGTATGAAACAGAAGTTGGGATTGGTTATGTTCCTACAGATGAGATTTTATCTTGTGATATCGTAAGGTTTAATGTGCAGTTATCTGTAATGAATGCCGGGCATATGGATGGGAGCCATGTTGTATTGCTTTACTCAAAAGCATCTAGTACTATAGAAGGTGCTCCTAGAAAACAGCTCATTGGATTTAGCCGTATCCATACTACTGCACATAGGTCGACAGATATGAGCTTCAGTGTTGATCCTTGTGAGCATCTTAGCTTTGCAAATGAGCATGGAAAGAGAATATTGCCACTAGGAGAGCATATCTTAATGATAGGTGAATTAAAACACTCATTGTTAATTGATATGTGATTGGTATAATTCATTCTTGTGTATGGGATATAGGGATCAACTTTGATCAAAACTATCTGTTAAAATATACAAAGTATAAATACTTATACTACATCCGTTATAGGTTATGCGCAACGATTTGACATAAAGTAGAGAGGAAAAATGTCTAATCGTTGCACATAACCTGTAACGGAGGTAATATATTCAATTCACATAATGATAGGTGAATTGGAGCACTCATTGTTGGTTGATATATGATTGGTATAATGTATTCGTTGTGTATGGAATTTATGGATCAACTTTGATCAAAACTAATCTGTTAGAATAAATGAAGAATAACCGGTGGAAAATTCGGTATGCTTTTACATTGCCTTACTTTAGGTTAGTGTGACAGTTTTTGTATCCTCATGCTCTGTACATTAGAAATGTCTTACCTGGATGCTGCAATCTGTATTCCAAGACGATGCTTATACACTTCAGAAGTTTTTTGATCGATGTGAATTTTTAAATTGGTAATCCCAATATGCTGTTACAAATGATTTTTGCTGCATTATTTTGATAATTTTGTGTTGCAACCAATTTGGGCGGTTTGTTGAAGATAATTTTTCTTCACGTAATGAATACCACTGTGTAAGAGATCTTTTGCATCAAGTCTTCTGTGCGACCCAAGCTGTTTGATCTTCGTAGGATAGCAATCTTATTCTTATGTTTCTTGATACTCTGTATAAAGTTTAGCGCGCAATTGCCAATGATATGGCCTCAACTGTATTAGGTATTTGATGTGCAGCAAAGTGTGCGACCCAAGCTGTTTGATCTTCGTAGGATAGCAATCTTATTCTTATGTTTCTTGATACTCTGTATAAAGTTTAGCGCGCAATTGCCAATGATATGGCCTCAACTGTATTAGGTATTTGATGTGCAGCAAAGTGTGCGACCCAAGCTGTTTGATCTTCGTAGGATAGCAATCTTATTCTTATGTTTCTTGATACTCTGTATAAAGTTTAGCGCGCAATTGCCAATGATATGGCCTCAACTGTATTAGGTATTTGATGTGCAGCAAAGAAGCAAGATTGTCTTAATGGTATGTACATCTTGGACTATCTATGTGTACTTGAAGTTGTTGGTTCAATCTCTTTTTTTTTTTTTTGACAAATTGTTGGTTCAATATTGTTCCGAGCTCAAAATGTTACTTCACTGTCTCTTGCAGTCTTGCCTGTTGGTTAATGTTAAATTTGTTACATTTGGTGCGAAGTGTGCTATTTTATAAATTATTAAAGTTTTGTTGAAGTTTATTTTTCCAATCCATTCTATCTCAAGAAATGTTAACTATTGTTAATTTCTCATCATTTCAGTACAATGATACATTTTTAGTTACTTTATATTTTCATTATGAAGAGTTATAAAGGACAATGATATATGTATAATCACAATTTTTGTTGTTCTTTCAAAATTTTACGAGTATTAACTAAGCTTGTTGACATTTGTAGCCTATAAGGATCCTTGTTTTTAGTGAGCTGACTTTCTTGCTTGCTTGCTTGCTTGTTCCCTGGGAGTGTAAACAATTATTGGGTATGGCTAGGGTCATGTGATATCTTGGTATATGTTCGGGTTGGGTTATGTCTAGTCAATCTAGCCTCATGGTCATGTTTGATTTCAGTTTGGATCAAGTTTTGTTCATATTATGTTGGGTCATTTATCCTTTCGTATACAAATTAAATAGGTTGTGTTAAATCAAATATGGGGTGGATTTAATATAGGTTAATTTAGGTTTGTGACATATTTTGGTAGTATAATTATCACGTATTAATTTGATTTCACTTGTTTTGCTTGGGATAAAAATAGGTAAGATCTACGTCCAATTTCATGTTAGTTTTAATTTGTGGGATTTAATCCAGTTATGGGTCACCCTGAGTTGGGTGAAGTTATGTCAAGTTGATAGGTTCTTGTATGTTTTTTAGCCAATTTGGGTTTAAATTGTTGTCAAGTTTGGTATCGTCGTCTTGTCGATTAGTATCAAACTATCAATTTAGGTGCAAGTTCTAGTTCAGGTGCCAGAGTCTCGTGTCAAATCAAATGTCAGTTAACTCCGATTTTAGCTCAGGTCACAAATTAGTAGTATCTCCTATGAATATAGTTCAAATAGAGTTTGGATTCGGTTCATCGTCGGTGTTTGGGATCGGATTCGGTCAATTCTTCGCAACTGTATTTATTTGAGTTGATACTGTCAAAGTGCTGTCTAATAAGCAAAATGGAGATATACAACACAAAATTTTCCCTCCTTACCTTCACAGTGTTCTTTCTCTTTACTTCTCCCTTTCATCCCAAAGTAAAAGCAGCACCAAAAACCGCAACTCCAAACCTTAATAAACCCCAATTCCCATGTAAACCACCTCATAATTCATACCCATTTTGCAACAAATCTCTTTCAATCTCAATCAGATCACAACAGCTACTCTCTCTTCTCACCTTGAAGAGAAAATCAGCTTTCTCTGCCACAATTTCACAGGAATACCCAGATTAGGAATCCCACCTTACCATTGGTGGTCTGAATCCCTTCATGGAATCGCCACTAATTGGCCTGCAGAAAGCGTCAAACTGCCTACAAAGTCCGCCACTGTATTCCCACAAGTTCTCAATTCAGCCGCTTCCTTTAACCGGAGCTTGTGGTTCGATACCGCGACCGCCATTGCTGTTGAAGGGAGGGCATTGTACAATGCTGGCCAAGTTGGGTTGACTTACTGGGCACCCAATGTCAACATTTTTAGGGACCCTAGATGGGGAAGAGGCCAGGAGACTCCTGGGGAGGATCCACTGGTTGTTTCTTCTTATGCTGTTGAGTTTGTCAAGGGGTTTCAAGGGGAGTATTGGAGGGAGGAGGAGAGAGAATTTGGACAAGGGTATTTTGGGAACAAGAGAGTGTTGGAGGAAGATGATGGGGAGGGGTTGTTGATGCTTTCTGCTTGCTGTAAGCATTTTATAGCTTATGATCTTGAAAAGTGGGGTAATTTCAGCAGATATTCTTTCAATGCCGTGGTAATTTTTTGTTATTCTTTTCAATGCATCTTCATTAGACCTGTTGTTACTCTTGTTAGTGTTGTAGTTTTGTACATGTATCAATGTATGCAGTGGAAATTGTGTTAGTAGTGAAGCTTTGATACTTTGTATTTAAGGAGAAGACCCTATTGAGGCAAAAACCTCACACATGTCAATCTGGCCTGGATTAGCGCAAGACCCCTTAGGAGTGGGGGTAGTAGAATATTTGAACTTGAACTTAAGTTATTGTTTATGCCAAAAACTTGTACACCGGGAATGTATCATGTAAAAGCCAAATTTGGAATGGGTTGAATTTTATGTGATTTGAGTGACTAAGATTAGTGTATGCAATACATATATTGTTTACAAACCTACCAATTATTATCAGGGTGAAACATAACTAGTGAAATTTCCACTTAAAAATTTTAGTAGTCAAAGAGGTCTTTTATGCACAAATAAATGCTTGTAGTCAGGTAGAGGTGTAAGTGAACTAGTATGCATGGTAATTATATCAAGCTTGAAGATTCTTCTTAGTTAATAAACCTTTTCAGGTTGAAAAATGAACTATAGGTGTGGAAAAAGGTTGTATATTCTTGTGAAAGAAGGCAATGGCCTTGTTGATTTGTGGCTATGGTTTATTGACTTTATTCCTTCCTAGTAAAATGCAATGAACAGAGCTTAAAGTCGTTAGCGCTCATTTTAATAGAGCTTGGAAAGAGGGATGCTCTATAATCTATTTTCATGATTAGATTGTTTATATGCATGACTACAAAACTGGTAATTTTTTTGAAACCCTTTTGGTGCATCTTATTATACTCCCTGTCTATTTTTTTTTTGGTTTGACTATTTTTGCAAAAACAATCATCGTCCAAATAAGAAATTCTTTTAGGTATAGAGGGTGTACCAGTTTTATGTTTATATGTGTAATTGTATGTCTTTGATGGAAATTGTTCTAGTAGTAGAATTTTTGCTCTTGAGCTTAAGTTACTGTTTATGACAAATTCTTGGCGTATTATGTAAAAAGCTTAATATACTGTGAGTTGATATTGTGCGATTCGAGTGACTAAGTTTGTTGTGTACAATATACTCGTTTTTGGTGTGAAACATAACTAGTGGAATCAGCCAAGCAGTCAAAAAAGGTCTTGGAAACTGTATGCACAAAACTGCTTGGATAGAGTTGCAAGTGAACTAGTTTTCATGTTGATCATCTCAGGCTTGAAATATTTGCTTTGTAGATAAACCTTTTGAGGTTGAGAAATGAACTGTTGATGAGAAAGCTTTAGATGATCTTGTGCTTATGGTTTAATCTTTCACATTAAAATGCAATATATAGAGTTTCAACATCTTTAGAGCTCAAATCTATGTTCATGAATAATTTGTAAATCATTATGTAGGGCTCAATGTACGCTTCTTTAGTTGTTTCTGTTGTTTCACCCTGCTTCTACTAAACAGTAGATCATGCTCTTTTCAAGTACTCCGTATACGATTTTCTGTCTTTAGTGTTGTACCTGAGAAATTTTCTTTATTACCTTGCTTTCCTGTTATTTTTGTACTTCTTTCCCTCTCAAAAAATCTATATAAATTATTAGCTGGTTAAGTTCGTGGTTAATATTTAAGATATGACAGATTACTGAGCAAGATATGGAGGATACCTATGAACCCCCTTTCAAGAGTTGTGTTGAACATGGTAAAGCAAGTTGCTTGATGTGTCCTTACACTAGTATCAATGGGGTACCTTCATGTGCAAATAGAGATCTTTTTCAGAAAGTGCGAAAGGATTGGGGATTTAGGGGGTAAGAACTTTGAGTAAGCTATATATCACCATTTGAGGATTGTCAGTCATCCCCTGCCAAATGCTAAATCTTGTTTTTATGTGGCTTATGATTTTCCTGATTGTAGATTTATTGCCTCAGACTGTGATGCAGTAGCGACAATTTATGAATATCAGTTTTATGCTAAATCCCCTGAAGATGCAGTAGCAGAAGCTCTTAAAGCAGGTTTCAAGTTTTGCCTTTCTGTCTTGGGACAAGTATACATCCTGGTTCTTGACATCTTGTTTGTTATTTGTTCAACTGTTGGTGTTGCTAACCTTTTGAATGGATAATCACCTGTAGGAGTTGATATAAATTGTGGAACATACATGCTTTATAATACCCAATCTGCATTTGGACAAGGAAAGCTCAAGGAGGGAGATATTGACCGGGCTCTTAAAAACCTGTTCCCTATTCTGCTCCGCTTGAGCCTATTTAACGGGGATCCCTTAAGTGGGATGTTTGGTAGATTGGGAAGCAAAGACGTCTGTACTAAAGAGCACCAGAGACTGGCTCTTGAAGCAGCAAGGCAGGGCATAGTGCTTCTCAAAAATGATAACTTCTTACCTTTAAACAAGAATCATGTATCTTCATTAGCCATCATTGGTCCTGGTGCAAACTCTACAAGCCCTTTTGTTCACGGGGGTGGATATTCAGGTCTAATCCTTCTCATTATTGAGGACAATGACTTTTCAATGCTAATGATAGTCTTTTTTTTTTTGAAACAAATGCTAGTGATAATTTTGAGATAATAAGTTCCCTGTTTACTATTTCTTTTATTAATTTGCATTTTCATATATTAAATTTTAAATGAACTATTGGTATAAATAATATGCATTGTTGCTCCCATTTATTTTCAAACACGGTTCTTTTACATTATTCCGGTATTCCATGCAATATGCAATCTTATGCTGAGGGTTTCAAAACATACATCAAGAAAACAAATTTTGCTAGAGGATGTCTGGACGTGGCTTGTGAGTCCAATTCAATGTTTGACGAAGCCCTCCATGTCTCTGAAGTATCTGATTATGTTATCTTAGTTGTTGGCCTGGATTTGACCCAAGAAACTGAAGATCTAGATCGAGTTACTCTTTTACTTCCTGGCAAACAGATGGAGCTTGTATCTTTGGTTGCTTCTGTTAGCAAAAAACGCATAATATTAGTCCTCACCGGTGGTGGACCCCTAGATGTCTCTTTTGCTGAAGCAGATTCACACATTGCTAGTATTATTTGGGTTGGATATCCTGGTGAAGCCGGTGGTAAAGCACTCGCTGAAGTAATCTTTGGTTATTATAATCCAGGTTAGAAATGAGAATTATCATCTTTCCTATTTAAATGTTGGTATAGATAAGTACAGTTGGTGGTTTTTCCTTTTCTGTTTCTAACTTCCCATTTTTTCATTCGTCCTTTCCTTAAGAGCGTTTGAAGCTGAGATGGCTGAAAACTGAGTTATTAGCCAAGCAATTCTCCTGTCAGTTCTCGCTATGCATTCATTGGGGTTCTTGTACGAGTAGTAAACTAATGGGGGTTAAGGCCTAGGGGATGGATGTCCGATCCTGGTTTCCAGTTTGTGACGTACTCATAGTTTTGAAGTTAGGAAAGATTACAGATGTATATTTTTTTTCTTTGTTGCTCCTTGGGACCATTATATCTTTCTTAATACTCATTGTGATTCTAATTCATGCATGGATATGGACTGCTAACAGGTGGAAGATTGCCGATAACTTGGTATCCAGAATTATTCACCAAGATAGCTATGAACAACATGAACATGCGGGCTGATCCTTCTCACTTATATCCTAGAAGGACACATCGGTTTTATACAGGAGAGGTTGTATATGAATTTGGACATGGTTTAAGCTATACAGATTACACATACATGCTTTTATCAGCACCAAATAAAATGATATTAGTTAGTAAAGCTAGCGGAAGCTTAAGAAAATTATATGAAACAGAAGTGGGGATTGGTTATGTTCCTACAGACGAGCTATTATCTTGTGATGCTCTAAGGTTTAATGTGCAGCTATCTGTAATGAATGTCGGGCATATGGACGGAAGCCATGTTGTAATGCTTTACTCAAAAGCGTCTAGCTCTGTTGAAGGCGCTCCTAGAAAACAACTTATTGGTTTTAGCCGTATCCATACAACTGCACGTAGATCGACGGATGTGAGTTTCATAGTTGATCCTTGTGAACATCTTAGCTTTGCAAATATGGAAAGAGGATACTACCTTTAGGAAAGCATATCTTAATGTCAGGAGAATTGGAGCACTCATTATTGATTAACTTATGATTGTTAATTTTTTTTGAGACACTTATGATTGTTAATTTGTTATACTATATTAGTGGTTTATGACAATTAAAAGTCTAATTTTATTTATTTATTTATTTATTTATTTTTAATTTATGTTTCTGAGACATTATCAAAACTAATCTGTTAGAACATACGGAGTATAGATATTATAACAAACTTTAGGCCTTTAGCAGCTTTGCGTCTTCTTAGACTCGTATTATCATTGTAAGTGAAATTCTCCAATTTCCTTGGTTGCCTTGGCAACAACAATCAACCCAAAATATACTTATACGAAGTTAATTCCCGAGTCCTTGCATTTTATGGTAATGATCTGAAACTCGAACTTAAAACTAGAATTTAAAACTAGGTTCAACAACTAATTTTGGGTAAAGTTCAACAACTCCAAATAATACTCCAATGTCAATGAGTAAAGAAAAAAAACGGTGTGAAAGTGAAATTGCCAAATAAAATACAGACACTAATTTGGTAAAGTTCAACAACTCCAATGTCGATGCTGCATTCATTTGTTTATACGAAGTAATTGGTGACGTACATGGCTGAAAACTGTTATATACATCCAAGTGTAATAGGTCACCCATTCCAAGAATACTCCTAACCAAGCACGCTTAACTATAGCACGCTTAACTTAGTACTCCCTCTGTTTCTTATTTCTTGCAACATTTGCCATTTATGAAAGGTTCACATTTCTTGCAACAAATGTTTTTTTTTCCTTATTTAGTATATTTTAGTAGGTCAATTTACCTTATTACCCTTGCTGATGTATCATTAAAATGCTAAATGACCCTTACGAATTTATAAACAGATTGTTAACTCATCATCAATATTACTAACCATTCCCACCAAAAATATCATCAACCTTTTATCTCCCCTCTATTTGTATCCAACTGATTGAAGAACAAAATTCTTCATCTTCCCAATCACCTCATTCAATTCATCTCCAGATTTTTGACCTACCTACAATAACTCCATGGCTTCACTGTCTCTCTCATCTCCCTTTAAATTCGAGACTTTCTCTCTCCTGTTTTTTTGGAACCCTAGTTCTTCTGCTGTGATTCGCCGCTTTCTCCTTCTTCCTAAATTTCCACCTTATCCCCCTTCTAGATCTACCTTTTTTCCTCTAGTAACAACATGAGTTCCTCTGAAAAAAAACGGTCCTTCCTTGTTTTGCTTTGAGAATCTCCCCCCTGAATCACCCAAGGATGACCTCCCTCCAGGTGCGACTCGATACATCTGTGAGAGAGGTTCTGGGAAGATAAAACCCTTGCGTTGTGCTAGGATGAGGCCGCTCTCTTGTAGGGTTCGCCGTGGTGCGAAGCTTGATGTACCTTCTGATGAAGAGAGTGAGGTCCAGTCTGAATTGGCCGGGAAAACCTCAAAAAACTCTATTGAGGTTTCAGATCTGGAAAGGGAAACTGAAGGGCACGGATCTGTGAAAGAGGAAGGTGTTGGGTCTTCCAAAGGGGTGTTCAAGGAGTCCCCTGCAAAGGCGGCGGTCAAAGGTGGTGAGTCGGTGACAGCCAATCAGCAGAAGAAAGGGTCCCTCTCAGGGATGAAAAGGGTGAGATCTGGGCTGCTTGTTGATCCGGAGCTTCTCTCTGATGAGGATTACATGGATTTCCTGAGGGATATGCACCCTGAGTGGTTCTCTGCCAATTAACCCTGCAGCGTATAACCTTTCTTCTCCTCAATTCATCTTTCTTTTGTTCTCCATTTGTTTAATTTTTGCTTCTTTACTTGTGTTTTGAGTCCCTGTATCATAGTTGTGTATACAAGGCTTGTGGTTATTTCTGTGTTGGTGCATATGGCTTGTGGTGAAATGTGTGTGCATATGGCTTGTGGTACTCTCTGTGTTGGTTGTTGTGTGATGCCTTGATTTTTGGTTTCATAATGGCCAGGGGATTGTTTAGTTGATGAATGATGAAGTGTTATGTTGGTTCTGTTGGTAAGACTGTTTTTTGAAGAAGGCTTGTGGTACTCTCTATCTTGGTTGTTATGTGATGCCTTGAATGTTGTACTGTTGGTGAGACTGTGTTGTTTTTGACTGTATAGTAATAAGAGTCCCACTCTTATGCACATTGACAGGCTTATGGAATATCATTGTGCATATTTGTCTGTGTTTCAGCAACCCCCCTAGCAACTTATTGTGTTATGCCTACCCACTGACCTTGTTTGCCATGCTATTCTGTTGCCTTATGAAGTGTTGGTGTTTTGAGTCCCAACCTATGTGATTTTTGTTTGAGTCCCAACCTTGGTATTGTGTGACTATGCCTTATTAGATTGAGCCATGTGATGAAGGGACTCATTTGAATAGCAGTTGCTAGTGGTAGCATTGCTCCATCAGTGGCCTTATGGCACTGGTGTTGAGTTAACAACCCTAGCTAAACTGAGTGATGTACACATACCCTTGCTGATGGTATTTCAATCTTTGGGTTTTTCCATTCATGCATTCATATCAAAGTAAAAAACATCTAACCATTTACTCCACACTTTTCAAAATAGAAATTCCCTTACTTTACATGACTGTCTTACATGTCTTGCATTTGGTTCATCAAAATACACATAACCTAAGCATTACATACTAATACTAGTAACATGTAAATAACAAACAGAAATTCTTACCTAAGTCAGCAAAATACTAAGAAGGTTATGTGTGGCAGTCATACATAGTCGTAAGGGAGTTTGCATTTCTTTGTCTTCAGTCAGCATCAACTTCCATGTGTAGTTCTTCTTCTGCTCCATTTGTTGTTGGGATGAACATTGTGTCTAGATAATTGACAGCATCATGTATCAACTGCCTAGGAACATGTAGGTGTTTAGGTAGTACACCTAACTTCTCAAGCCTCTTCTTCTTCATATGAGGAGGTGAGAAGTTGTTTCCTCCCTGTTTTTCAAGGACCTTGATCATGATTGATTGTAATGTCAGCCATATGTACTTGTTTGCTTTAGCCTCAAAAGCATTGTATGCATTGGTAACCTCTTTGATTAAATCATCCAAAGTTGTGGGGAAGGATTGATATTGTAGGGACTAAATGACTTTGAACAACCCAAGGTCTAAAACATTCAAGTCAGGAGATTGAGCTGGTTGATAAACCATTTCAATATTAAAACCATTAGCATGACAAGCAGCAACAAATTCTTCATCTTTAGGGATTTGATGAGGCCTTGCATTATCCCATTGAATTTTCACATTTCTAGAGACAGTCTCTGGCCATTGTTGGTGTATTGCTGGGATGATGTGCTCCATTAGCATTTGTCTGATTGCATCCTTGTTGACATTCTGTACATCCTTTGTTTCCAATGTACCAGCTTCTCTGTTTTTGCTCTTTTTATTTTCCATCTGTTTTATCACAAATGGAAAGATACCATACTTTCCATCATGCAGAAGAGTCCCATCTCTTGCATATATTGGTTTCCCTATCATATCCATGAACATGGCCTTGATCTTAAACCTCTTACTCTGTTGACACCTGTAAGGATCTTCCTCTTTTGGAAGGAGGTAGAATTTTCTGGTTTCAGGGTTCAAGTAGAACCATTTTTCATCTATGTGAATGACTTCTTGCATGTCAACAAACTTTGGGTCCCCTTGAGTTGAAATTGGGTTTATGTGACTTAATACCCACTTCAACCTTGCCACCTTATTATTGGATGTCAATGCAGGATGGTTTGTGCTTGTGTGTGTCCCCAGTCTTCCTTTCTTCCTTAATCTATGAATTGTTAAATGTGAAACATTCAGTGCACCTGCATAGCTTCTCTCTGTTGTTCTTTTGTATAATGGCACAGATTGCAACCATTCATCAGAGTACTCTTTGGGTTTTGGACTAGTCCTTCCCAATTTTTTTGATCTGACATCAATGACATTCCCCTGGGCCATTTGCTTTTTAATGTCTGCATACAATCTTGACATTGTAGATCTGTGAATGTCATGCTCTCTTGCTTGTTGTGATAAAAAAACCCCTTGGCAGATCTCCTCCTTGCATTTTTAACAGAATGGCATCTACTATTTGCCTCTTCTGTTCAATGGTGAGGTCCCTCCTCTTCTCTCCTTGTTGTTGTGTCTGTTGATTCTGTAAAATCTGAGAATAAGTCCATTCTGCAGCATACTCATCCTCTGAATTTGTACTGGACAGTGATGAGTCACTTGATAAAACTTCTTGTTCTTCTCCTAGCAACTACTCTAATGAAAAAAAAACTTCCATATCCATATCAAGTAACATATACTACCTTGTTCTGAACCAGGTCTGCCGATGGTGATGAAGTGGAGGATGCAACTTTTTGGACAACTCAAACAGAACCAACTTTTGGATGAGTTTAAAATGATGTCGCTGCCCCTAATTTAGCACTAATTAGATTTAGGAAGTAGGTTGGTTGTATTTATGGTAGTTTTTGAACTTTTTTAGTGCTAACTTTTGCTGATTTTAAAGCTCAAATGTATTCATTAGGTGGTAGATGAAAATGGTGGTGTATGACAAATATGAATCTTTGTTTGTGCTGTGAACTATTTATACCCCTTCTTCCTTGGGGAAAAAGTAAGAGGAGGGAAAAATTTGGTGCCTAAAAACTGATTTTTTTTAAATTTGGTGAAAATTTGGGAGGGAAAAGTACACCCTCCCAAAAATCAGCCCATGTGAAAGTTCAAACCAAAAAGGGTGGTCCTTATACTTCCCTCCTTTTTAAAACTTAATCACATGCTATTAACCCTTCCTTTATTCCCTTAAAATTTTTGACTTGGGAATTGTGCTACCCCCCTTTGTTGCAAGAAATAAGAAACGGAGGGAGTATATTGTTGATAGGAGTAATATATCATGGGTAATGTTATATGTAGCCCTAAGGGTTATATAAGCATTAAATACACTCTTGGAAATTGTATAAAATTAGGTTTTCATGACAAAAATACGCGTAAATAAGTGTAATTAGTGTTTATATTTTTATAATTTTTTAACTTTTTATGATTTTCAAGTGTAAATTTAATACTTATATGTAGAGCAATTTTATGCATAACATTTTTATTTTCTGAGGAATATGCATTACAATTTAACATTTTTTTTTTTAAGTTATGCCCCCAAACTTTTTCGGTTTCTAAGCTGTGTCCATACCTTTTCAAACCCCTAAGCTGTGCCCTCAACCTTACAAATTTTTTTAACAATAACCTTTTTTTTTATTATTTTTTTTTTCTGATTTTTAAATTTTTTTTAAAGTATTGAACCAATTAGAACGGCACACGTGTCAAATTAATAACGCCACGACACCATTGTTAATAAAATAACTTAATTTTTGTTAACATATATGACTTTCAAATGGTATTGTTGATAAAATGTCGTGAGGTTGAGAGTACAACTTATAACTTTGAAAATGCATGGGTACAGCTAGAAATGGAAGAAATTGGGGGACATAGCTTAAAAGAAACTTTTTTTTTTTTTAATTTACTCGCAAGATATTCCATCTGTCACTTTTCTATGGTTACATTTTGACTTTGGTGGTCAACTTTTAAATCTTTTACTATTACCATATACTATTATAAAGAAACCATATCATATGGGAATAACAAGATGTTATCGGATTCATCTTGATATAAACTTTCAAAATATCAATTCTGTTGAATTTTTGACAAGGATATCTTTCTTTGCAATGGTATGGACACGGTTTGATACAATGATACTAGTACATACAAAAAATTACACGCACATACATAAAGTTGAAATTTCCAAAAATCTTAATGATCGAATGTACTCCCCCCCGTCCCCAAATACTTGGGACGTTGGAGTGGACACGTAGTTTAAGAAAAGTACAAGTAGTCCATTTAAAATACTACCTCCGTTTCACATAATGTGCAACAAACTCCCTTTCACATTCCCCAAGACAAAACTAAAGGGGATGAGGGTCTAATTAATTAAGTTTGGGGTTTAATTAATTAAGCTTGGGGTTTAATATAATAAAATCCTATTTGTAATTTAATAAGGTTGTTTTTTTTTTTAAAAAAGTAAGGGTATATTGGTCAATTACCACCTAAAAATATACTACAAAAAGAAAAATAACAAGTTTGTTGCAAGTAAATTGAATCACCCAAAAAAGGAAATTGTTACGAGTAAATTGAACCAGAGGTAGTAGTATATTTCATAAGGGCAGCTGAAAAGACTATAGATAAGTTGCAAAATTTCAAACTTCACTAAAGCTTCATACTACATTGGAGGGTCCAATTCCTTTCCAGAATTATATTCATTGATACTTTTCCGGTTTTACTTCTCTCTTTGATATGAAATATTGTACCATTAGTATTTCATTGAATAATTTTTGAAATTATTGGTATAAAGTTTGATTTTGTTTTGAAATTATTGGTATAAAGTTTGATTTTGGAGTATAAAGATAGCGAAAAGAAATTAATGTAAGCGGAATAATCTCAAGATTGGATACTTGGCTTTAACCAAGAAAGATAGTTGGTATCCACAAACTATAATTGTTGTTGTTCATAAAACATTTTATTTAACATATAAAAGTACATTGTACATCTTAAACACAAAGCAAAGACTTCATTGTGACATACAAGGAGAATGAAGGTTTATTTATATATATCCCCATAAACAAACTTATTTATACACAACTTTGGACAAACAACAATAAAGAGAAACATAAAAACTCATTAGGCTTACAAGCAACAACATTTGTGAAAATTTTACTGATTAGGCAGCTACAGGCTCATTCACTATGGAAGCCTCGACCTTTGGCAAGTCACAGGCACCAACATCATCATTATGCGATAAATTATTGCCACCACAACCACTGCCACCGCAGCCTCCACTCTTGACCATGTGTCCACAACCACCACCATATCCGCCAAAACCTTTACAACCACCACCACAGCCACTTCCGCAACCACCACCACTCTGAACCATGTTTCCGCATCCACTGCCACAACCGCTGCCGCATCCACCACTCTGGACCATGTTACCACATCCACTTCCACATCCACTACCACATCCACTACCACATCCACCACTCTTGACCATGTTTCCAAAACCACTGCCACATCCGCCACTCTGGACCATATTTCCACAACCACTACCACATCCACTGCCACACCCACCACTCTGGACCATGTTTCCGCAACCACTGCCACTGCCACAGCCACTCCCACAACCTCCACTTTGAGAATTTCCTTGTATCCCTATGTCACCACTAGCCTCCTCCACTTTGACCTCTATTACATTTTCAGCATTACTAGGAGAAGTGGTTACTTGGATCACTTGGTTTAATATGTTTTCCTTAGAACCTACTTTGGCAGTGAAACCACCCTTTCTTTTTAGTATATCAGATAGAATGAAGGCTAAAGTGATGCCAGTTAGTATCATCCATTCATCCTTGACCTGTTCACGACAAGAAGGGAAGTAAGCAATATGAGACACGGAAGGGGAATATGACACAGGATAAAGTCCTCGATCATATAGGATACCTTGAAGATTCCATTTTTAAAATCAATCAGTGCTGTCGCTCTTCCATAAGGATACAATGCGGAGAATTCAACGGCAGTCATAAAATCATGTTCACTGCTTTGTTTTTTGCAGTGTTTGGGTTCAAAGTCCAGCCTCCTTCCACTAAAAAGTTTCACCTAAGCAAAAAGGTTCAATTCACAGAATATTATTTAATGAATATGGGTCCAAGCAAAGCTTAAACAATGAAAGGAATTTCCATCACCGGTTTGTAAAAGGAGCTAGGAAAGCTGATAAAAGTTTAGTCCTAATTATTTAGACAACAAATTCAAGCAAGATAGCAGAAATACCATCTTATGACCAACAAGCTCAAAGAGATGACCATCATTTCCAGAAGCATTGTGAAGCTTAAAGGAGCCATGGGTCCCCTTAATTAACCACTCATTTCCCTGAAACTTTGCCAAGGTATGTGTTTCACCAGAGTCTGTGATGTAGTGTACCTCCTTTAGCAACTCAGGGGTACTTCTTGTCATGTCCTTGCTCGATTCCCTGAGAAACAATAACGCCATAAATGGTGAAAGAGTAAGATAATGCAGGTATCCATCACTAATTCTTAAGTGGTAGTCTGGTAGATGCGAAACCAAGAGAAACAGCTGGTGTAGAATTAGAATGACCATAAATAAATTGATTAATACACAAACTAAAGGTTTCAGGTTTAGGTCCTAAAAAATGTATCCACAAGAAGCAATCTGCTTTTGAGACACTACAAAGGGCTACCATGGAAGTTATGCTCTGGTATAAAAGGGAGACAGGGAGGCATTGGCGGATCTATGTGGCCACCAAGGGGAGCACTTGCATCCCCTTTATTTTTGCATTAGAATTATGAAACTTAAGGTGTTAAAAAAAAATCTATTTCATATTGTAGTTTTTGCTCTCCCATTCTAAAAAGTTGATTTCCTAAAAGATAAATCATACATTATTTCTCTATATAAAATTGCAAATAATATATTATTTTCGGATTTAAAATATTGCAACGTTTGCGCTTTCCCATTCTAATTCTATATGGTTTATACGTAAGGAAAAATAATCACTTGGGGTTATTGTTATTGTTACTGTTACATACTCGTAATTAAGTTTTTTTTTAAATGTTAAAATTGTGAATTGAAAAAATGAAAAGAGTGATTACTACCCCCATGTTGCAATGTTAAAGGAACAAAAGATGTACGTAAACTTACAGGCTAAAGATGAATTAGAAAGTAAAAACATTATGCAATATTGAAACATTAATAATATCAACGTTTCCAATTTTTTGGGTTATATAACTTTAAAAAATTTAGGACCCCATTTACAAATTTCTAAATCCGCCACTGCAGGAGGTAGTAGGGGAAAACATCTGCAGAGGCCTAAGTAGAGGGCTTGAACATGGGATCTGATGGTCACCATGAGAAGCCAATCATTAAAAACAGTCAAGTTTGGTTTAATT